CTATAATCATGTGCACTTAAGTCTGCATTCGCAAAAAAATCAAAATTACAAGCATTTAAAATTTAATTGTTAAAAGGTCATTTATACTAACTTAAACAAATAAAGGCGTTCAGTGAATTGTGTATAACCATTTTAAATAAAGACAACAGCGAGTATTGGCTAACGGTGTTATATTTTAACAATGTACTTACTGTACAGAGAAATATCAAAAGTCAATATACTTCAATAATTATTCAAACTAATTTTAAAATATCAAGTATTTTGACGGAAAATTTATTTCATATTCATAATACTGTAGTAAATCGGGATTTATTTAGTGGCAAATGGTTTGTAGTAGTATATTAAATGAAAAACGACTAAATGTATTTCGGAGCAATTAAATTAAATTATTCGTCTTGAACAACGATGGTTAAAATACAGAATATCCATCACATGATGATATGTCTATTATAAGAAAATCTATAGTATGATGGTATAGATAATGGTGGAAAATAATTCTAATAGCACCTACTACATTAATCGAATTCGTCCAACAATTAAAAATTAATAGCTTTAACTATATATCGAAACAAAATATTTTCCCATGTAGACGAATTGTCCAAATGCGATATTACTTTTAATTTTTAAGACAAACAGTAATTTAAAATATTTACTCAATATCAGTGATACTATTCTGGTAATAGTGCATATGTATATAATGTTTGTACCGCTTATTTTGAATAACTTAATACAATTTAATGATGTCTTACATAGATTAATATACGTTCAAGTAGTGTATTGTTTGTTACTATTCAAAACAACTGATTATTATGAAACAATGTGGCATTTTATATAAAAAATTGTGTATCAGAAAATTTTAATTTCAAATGGTAATTTGGAATTTTGAATTGTCTTCACTCTCTTCATAGTGAGGTTTTGAGTATTTTTTCAAATTCATAAATTAAATGTTGCTAGTTTTATCTTGGATAATCTTGGTGTACGGAAAAAATAAAATATTGAGTTTTAAAATTGAAAAACTGAATCTTAAATTTTACATTGGTTATAGTATTTTTTTGGATTGACTTTTTTGCTTTCTATTAAAATAACTGATGAATTTTATTAATTACTATCTATTATTCTCAAAGTTCTGAAAATAAAAAAAAGCAACAGCATCTTTTGATTATATTTTAATAAAATTTATTTAAAACGATACAGATATGATATCTATTGATATCCACTATTCCTGTGGGCTGAGCCACCTTTAAACGAGCAGAGGGCTCGTAACCAATGACTTAGAGCCATATTGCCGTCATTTGCAAGTTAAATTTATAATTTTATTGAAGTACTTAAAGAATATCAAGTTAAAGTTGACTTAAATACAATTAAATGGACGAACAACTACGAATCACTACTCTAAAGTAATCTTTAGGTATAAAAACATGAAACATGTACATAGAAAAAAAAGCCTAGATTAGACTAGGTACTTAAAAAATGTATTATTTTTTACGCTTATAGGATTTTTATTTTTATACTTTTGTGTTACGTTTAGGTCCTATTTTGCGCTTATGAATTACAGCATTTATTAATTTTATTCTTACGGTTTTTCAAATCAGGATTATTGACTAGCTGTTGTTTAGTGTGTTACCGCCATGTTATTTGTGACTTATTTTAGATAATTTTTGTATGTTATTTGTTACGTGTTGTATTTTAATTGTGTGCGATGTCGTCTATATGTTATGAATTTTAGTTAGATACTTTTGTAACTATGTTTGTTCTAGTTAATTCTTCTAAGTTTATGAACAATAGGTATTGACGTATAGTGTAAAGGTACAAAGTACGGAGTTTTCTAAGTGTGTATCAAAGTTTATTAGTTTTTAGTGTTGGAATACCCAATAGAGCTTACAATATATTTACTTTTGCTATTTTAAACTCTCTGTATAATACGTTAAAATAATAATATATTGTTATTTAATAAAATTTTATTTGATTCTTTTATATTTATTCATTATCCATTTATTCTCTTAAAATTTAAATAAAAATGTTGTAATTTATCTTTAACTAAATGATTCATAACGTATAATAATTATGTATACATTGTATAGTAAGTACATAGCTTAATTTATTGACCTTCAACCAGATTCTTTCTCCAATCACTTATTAAAAATTGATAGTTTTTATAATATAATTTTACTATAGTAATCAAATTAACAATGAACCGTATAATTATTTGAGCTATTATTACATTTAGAGAAAAATAAAAAAGATTTCTTGTTATAAAATGTGTTCCCATAACTATTAAAAGTACTCTATTATAGTATAGTAACTAATAAGTAATAAAAATAATAATGTATGTATTGTTTATGGAAATTGGAAAATGAAACAAGTTTTTTTTTATTAAAATAGTACGCCATGTATATTTATGGTGAACAAACATATCTACTATTTTTTATAGGACAGTACTTTTCTTGACGCATTGTTTTAGTGTTTATAACAATAGTATTAAGTACATGAAATTATACTCATATTTTTAAAAAATTACGAGCTAATACATAGTAATAATTTTTTATAATTTGATAATTCATTTATATTTTATGGTTTGACCTAATGCATATTAATAAGATAATGTATAAAATGTATAATGTATGGTCTTGGAGTTAAACATCTAGAAAACAAATTATTAATAAATAATTTATTCAAAGGTTTATTTTTTCAGTAATCATACTTTAGAATATTTCTTATATTTTCAGTATATTAATTTCAAAATATTTTCATCATAAAAAAATACACTTATTAAAACCTAAAAGTTGATACAGTAATGAAATTATAATTTAAAGTAAATAGTTTTTATAGTTGATAATAATAATTGAAATTATAGAATAATCAGATAAAAACCTATCAATATAGATAGGGATTATTTGTGTTATTAATTTTATAAAGATTTAAAATTTGCTTTTTTTAGATTTTCAAATTTAGACATCATATATTTATTTTATATTCATATCACCTAAAATTAAATATCATTATTTATTATTACCTTTTTTAGTTACATATTAGTTATAATAATATGCATACATTTTAATTTATTATATATTATTAATTAATTTAAATTTACATGAATATTAAAATATAATTATTCAAAACATATTACAGATTTAATAACAGTAATGTAGTACCATAATTGCTACTAAAATGAATTATTATAATTTATATACTATACATTATATATATATATATATATTTAGTAATAAAAATATTAAATCAGTATTTATATTAAAATTATTTACTTTCTTTTTTATTAATATTTAAAAATTATGTTTTTTATTGTGATCGATTAATAGGAACATAATTTTTTTGTTATCGCAATAATATAAATTTTATCAAGCTTGTATACTTGACTCATAAATATTGTTTGGATGAATTTATTTAATCAATATGATTAAATATTTATATACTCATGTAATGTGCCTTTTCTTGAACCTCTTATTTTTTGTTCGCTTCAGAGCACGTTCTTGGTAAATTTATATTTATTTTATGTTTGTATAGTTGGTAGAAAAAATATAACACATTTTCATAATATTATAGTTAAATACACGTTTTCAATGATTTGATTTGTAATTATGTTTTTTAAATCTAAATTAATAATAATTATCAATATTTATTATACTTATAACTTATAAGTACTAAAAGATCTATAGTTTGTTTTATTTTAAAATCATTTTTTTTTAAAAATAACAATAACTCTATCTATTTTAAAACAAGATTAAATCATATTGATTCGTACTTATTAGCCTTAGAGTTTAAATATATTATATATTTGATTTTTCTTATAAACCATAAACAATAAAAGAATATACTTTAATGATGATTCATAAAAATGTCTGAGATGATTCAGGTTAGTCATTATATTTTAAAACATTCCAGCTATTTTGGTAATTTTTAAGAATATATTATTATTAATTACTCGTAATTATTGACTTGAAAACTGTAGAACATGGCTCATACTTATACATTTTATCTGTACATAGATATATAAAATTAAAATACCCTTTACTGATTGGTTGTAAACTTTTAAAAACGATAAAAGTATGAAATTGAAATTGGGAATTTTGGTTTTATAATGCTTTAGATGTGTAATAAAAAAATATTTTAAAAATATACTCACACATGTATTTTGTTTTCAGCAAATGAAAATCGAATATTTTTTGTTTTTATAAGATGGCCATTGGTTAGAGAAAATAAAATAATTATTATACAATCGGGTATAATTTTTGACCAATATATTTTGATGTATGGTCGAAACAATCCAAAGAACTGTTAAAAATCTGTGTAGATATTATAATAATAATTTAATGTTTTTTTTTTTCAGAAATATAAAAAACGACGACTATCCACGGATAAAGTTGTTATGTTATAGTGTAATAGAAAAGGTATTTGAAGACATGTAATATTGTTATAGACTTGGAAAGTTGGAGGATTTATCATAACTTATAAGCTTGTGACAAATTATTAAATCGTATGCATATATATTATTTCATATACATTGCTTTAAATACTTACGATTATTATACGGTCATACGAGTAATCGTTAATCAGTGATGATAAATAGGAATTTACACGGCATCACTATATACCTCCTGTTGTACAGTTTGCAATTACGTATATCATATAAGTAATAACTCAATAATTAGAATATATGTTTTATTTTAATATATTAGACTGATAATAAAATCCTTGCTGAATCCTGAAGTGACGTTCTAGAGCTGAAATGCATCGCAATGAAAGAATACGATATCTATAATGCTGGTTCACTTCTGTGGTCGGATACATATTTATATTCAATGCTAAACGTTGATTTAACTTTCCAATCAAATGATTTGGATTGCCAAGAATTTATACAAACACGAACACTATAATAATAAATAATAATAATATGTAGGTAGTCAAGTTTTGATTTTATTGGCGTCTCTTTACGTAGACCTTATATAATCAAGAAACTCGCGGTAAGTACAACAAACGTATCACGTTATCATCGTGGCATTATATTAATGATAATGATAATGATATTATGATGTTGATTTATAACGTCATATTTTGTCATGAGCTTACGGCGATTGGGTCGCGGAGCAGCCGTCATCGTATCGGTGTGTCGCACGCGCATAATGTTATTATACGATACTAATGTACATAGTATGATCGGCAGGTGGCGCGGAGGATTGCTGGTGTCCTGCGTACGCTCTGCTTACATGCGCGCGCGATCCCACGTATAAGGGTTGGGTAGTAGTCACGTCGGGGGTAGGAAGGGGGAATTGCGGCGCCCGTAACTAGAGTGCTCGGCATTATCGACCTGTACGCCATCTGATTTGCCGCCGAGTCGTTTCCCGACGAAACGCGCAGTCTGCCGCTCATTCATGTTCGCCGCGATCCTGTGCCCGAAAAACACCTAAAAATACTAACTTGCACACACACATACACATACTCACACACATACACACTCACACACACGCACGCAAACACGCGCCCCGCACACACACACACACACATCGGAAATTATATTGTATTATCATAAATATATATTTTGACTAACCGTCGTCATTATATCACGTTGCCGTCGTTGTCGTCGAGAACACCGTCGCGGATTACGAGTGTCTATATTTTGGGTTGATTTTATCGTCGTTGCATCCCTCAGTCCGCCGTTGCTCGTTGAATGTGCGGACGATCCGATGCTTGCACTTTGACTGTGACTGTAGTCGCTGATTTTCCGCGGTGTATCGTCATCGACCAGGCGTTTGGGTATTGGCGGGACGGTAGCGAAATCGAAAACGACGACAACGGCGGCGGCGGCGGTGACGGCGACAACAGCTTCGAGGTCGGTGGAGGTGCTAGCGGTGGCGACAACAAAAACGACGACGGCGACGGCGACAGAGACTGCGGTGACTGTTGATCGGTTTGACGGATTCGACATCATGGATAATGTGAATTTGAAGACCGATTGACGACCACCGTCGTTAAGTCATGAAACAGAAGAAGAAGAAAGACGAGCCGCCGCGGCCACCGTCTGGCACAGACGAACTGCAACAGCAGCAGCAACTATGTAACGGTGCAGGCGAGCCGAGACCTAAGAAATCGGCACTGAAACGCACAGCGACAAGTGGCAGCTCCAAGGCAGCAAAGTCCAGCAAGCACAAACGGCACGTGCAGTTCAACGAAAGCTTGAACGTGTTCTTCGAGTCGGACTACGTAATTGTCATCCGGGACGATGACTGCGAGTTTGACGAAGAGGACTTTGATTTTTGGTCACAGCAGCCGTGCAGCTGTGGCGACGAATCGTGTTTTCAGCCGTGGCTTGACGATGACGATGGCCGTGGCATGCCACCGCTCGACCCGTACGAAGAACAGCCAGCCACGCTCAGTCCACCTGATGGATACAAGGACGGCTGTCCCAGGCATGTGCCGCCGTCTCTAGACCATCTGAAATATGGTAACTATGCAGTAACCAATAGTTATTAACCGAGGCTACAATTTTTTTCATTATAATTATAAGTCACACATTAATTTAACACGGATTTTAAATATGTATCTAATAAAGCACTAAAATACTTGTACATTCAACAAAATTCGAATCACTATAATTATTAATATTGTGACCTTATTTAAAACAAAGATTATAATAAAAATATTAGTGTTAATTTATTATTTTTTAGATATTTTGTCTTCGGCTATTGAAAAATATCTAAATTCTGAAGACAATTACTTCAATTTTTTTTTTTTATTTCAAAATAAATTTGTAATTAAAATATTGTTTATGAAATTAAATCCCAACCCGAGTAAACTCACAATAATATGTATTTTATTAAAATAATTCATGCCTCATTTTAGTTTTTTAAATTGCATCTACATCGTTTTTACAAATTATCCCTAAATAAATAATTTAATTATTATTAATAATAATAATTTATAGCTGCAAAGAATTTATTTTCTTATTTTCTTATTCATTTTGATCGATTTTTTTTATTCTAGTTATTCTCAATTGACTTTTTGTATTGGATTATTTTAAACATAAACCTTCCATTTCTTAAATATTAATTATTAAATATGTTTAAATGTTTTTTTTTTTACAATTTTTTTTTTTAAATCAGTAAATTTGATAGTATATTCAAAAATTGTACTTGATATGTGAATTAGAAATTTTCTGTGCAAATATGGTTTTTAAATAGCATTAAAATAAAAACATAAATAGGTATTAAGTTAGTTATCTATTAATAATTTAGATATCCACGGTAAACAATTAATAAAATATTTTTAATTTGAACTTATATTTTAGATTATGAAGATTTAACATTGGTTATACATTATCTTTAACATATTTACTCACTAAATAGCGCATTCAATTTAAATGTTCCCGTTTTTAATTAATTAACCACAGTGGTAGCCGATAATTGTACTAAGCATTTGATAAAAAAAAAAAAAAAACCAATAAACACGCTTTAAATTTACTATCATAACTATATAAAGAAGAAATATAGAATATTTATAAATCTATTTGATTTAAAAATACCTACAAATATAGACATTGCATAACCCTATAATTAATACGTTTGCAACTTTGAACACAAATTAGAGTGATAAAATTATTATAATATTATATTATATAAATAGATTTATAATTATAAATAAATAATAAAAAGTTTTACATTAAAATAAATTTTTTAACTGTTTAAGTAAAATATTGAAAATGATACGTATAATGCATAAATTAGTAATAACGATTATTTGTATCTGGTGTGAATTTTTTTAAATATCAATGAAATATTTTTAAACAAAAACTAATTTTTTATTTTATAATTTTTAGTTATAAAATATATTATTTTAAATAAATACCTATCTATAATGATTATTATAGGTTATAACTCTATAAATTATTACTTTCTTAGTTTAAAAACAGAATAAATGACATTATAATAATTAATGAATTATATTGTTTAAATGATTTAAAACATTAAAAATTGAATCATATAAAACAAATAATTAATATCGAAATATATTGTAGCAGATGATGATTTAGCTACAAGATATGGTTCGGATGTGATGGACAATTCTAGCGATACGCATGTCGCTATGCCATATAATTCCAATGTCAACGCAACTTCCTACCTCGATGATAATAGTCAAAAAGTTCGTCATGAATTTTCGTCCTTACCCCGGGCATGTAGTAAGTATAATTTTTATTATTTTGTATATTATGAACAGTAAACATTAATCCGATTTTGTGTAAATTATTATATTACCTTATTATTCAAAATTTTTATTAGAAATATAATATTATTCACATTATACAAAAATTCAATATAAAAACTACTAAAAAAATGTTTAAATGTGAAAATATATAAGAATAGTTGAAATACAACTATAAAAAAATAATATAATTTATAAGACAATAAGAGTGAGTAAATTTATAGAATTAGTTTCTAATACGCATAAGTGAAAAGTGATTATGAATTATGGTAAAATATTTCAATATTAACTCTGTGCAATAAAAATAATGTATCGTTACTGACACGAAAAAACCTCCTATGACTAAAACCTGATTTTTCGGGAGACATAAAAAACGTTTTAAAAATCAAAAATTATGAATGATAAACGTAAATAAATGTTATAATTATAAAACTATGTAATAAATTATTTCGAAAAAAAATTAAAGTAAAAACTTAATAGTTATGAATTTATTATATAAATTGGTAATATTTTATTATATGAGAGGTTTTGTTAGTTAACATTTTTTTTCTAAAATTACATAGGAGATTTTCAATTTTATATAGAAAGTTTTTAATTATTACATGGGAAGTTTTCCAATGGCGATAAATGTCACTTAGGATGAAAGAGTTTTGAATAATTTTATAAAAATAAAATAACTTAGAATATTTTAATGATCAACTGAGACTTCTTCTTTATTTCAAGAACAAATTACAATGAAAATATAATTATTGCATAAAACAAAAATGTTTGCTTAAAGCATTTTAATTATCAATATTTTTAAAGTATTGCGTTATATAAAAGTGACAAGTAATAGTGATTTGTAATATCCCTTTTTTGATTTAAAACAAAATATTGATTTATTACAATATAAAAGTTTAAAATACCTAAAATAAGCAATAAGCATTCATCGAATAACAAATTTCTAATTACTAGATAAAGTTCAATTTAATATTCATTTTTATTGATATTATCATTAATATAATTATTATTAACATGAAAAAAATTTCCAATGTACCAAATGTCATACACGACACTATACTGTACAATACCACAGAATTATTCTGTGACAACACCTCCTAGTAATTTTGACCGAATTTGTAATCATATAGGTGAAATTTTATAGTAGGTAGCAAATTAGAAATTTTATCATTATGACGGCCAATTTTTTTTGAATCCAGAGATACCAAAATTTCAAAATTGTAAATTTGGTAAATAGGTGGTTTTTTCGTGTCAACGACGATATGTATGATGTACATTATTTATTGAGGGTATATCCTACCCTTTAGAAATCGTTGTAGGTTTTCAATAATAGTCGGGTAATAAGGGAAATTATTAAATTAGCCCACGGATATCGAATATAAGTGGACTTTAGGCGCGTAAAGGTTTTCATTTTTTGAGTAAAAATTCAATTTTTTTTTCTCGAAAATTTATTTTACATATTTTTTTTTTTTAAATAGAACTAGTAATCAGTAGTAGCTCATACTATGTTTTAATTATTTTTTAGTCTTAACTATTCTGAGGGCCGTATTGTAATAAATAATAATATTATCTTGGTTGACAAATTTTAATTACGCATTTCCGATAAGTGATTTTTAGTGTTTTTGAAAATAATTTTCAATTCATTAATTATTTCATCATTTTGATAATTTTTTGTTAAATTTGAAATGAGATACTAAATATCAACGATCTGTCTTGATGAAATTATAAATATTTTAAGTACCTAAGTGATAGTATTAATTTATTTATGTATTAAAATATTATACATGCAAGTTTATGTAGTAACATAATATTTTAGTTTTGTGCCATTTATAAATAAATTATGATTTATTCATAGTGATTAATAAATAATAATTTATAGAATAATACAAAATTGCTAATAATTTTATTGATTATTTATAATATTTTAATCAAATAGTGTTTTACAATTATTATTTTAAATAAAATACCAGCTAATATAATAAAATTATATTTACGAATAATAAATCAAACAAACGAACAAATCAATTAAATTAAAAATAATTATTAATCCGTTCTTCGATTAATTAATAGATTAATGATTTTTTATTTAATCAGTGTAATGGTGTAATTAGTTGACTCGTCATTATCTGTCATATCATTTTACACATACTCTTCGTTATCTAAGTTAATATAATAGTCTTATCCAGTCCAATATATCTTAACATTCTAAACTTAGTAAATAATTTAATCGTTTTTCAGCATTGTATCAATTCGTTATAATTATCAGTCAAAAGTCCTCGTTATTGATAATATGTATCTTAAATAAATGTGTTTAACTTAAATTCAATGATAAATCATTGTTACAATAAAAAACAATTCTGAATAAAATACAAAATTTTAATTCTAAGTGAAGTTGAACTATTTGGTATACTAACCATCAAACAATTATTCTAAAAACAACAAATTTTTTCATTAAAATCTGAGTGAAGAGATAAATTTAATGATTTTACAATTATGTATGTGTATTTTTTTTTTTTAATTTGTCTAAAAACACTTTTGAGGGTGGTTTATGTTTTTATGTATATGATCTTGTTGATACTGTTGAGATACTAAAATAAAAAATTATTTGCATCTTTCAAAATAAGCGGAGAGAAAAAATGGTAATTTGATGAAAAAATAATTTTAGATAGAAACAATATTGTTTTTTTGGTATTGCTCATAAACGATATATATTCTTTATATTATATCCTTATAATTTTCTCTTTATAGTCTATTATTAAAATTATTTTTACTTTTTTAAAGCTATTTATAGAAAAATTAAATTTTCGAATTTATTTTATTATTAATTAAAATATTTTTACCGAGTAAAAAAGTCTGAAAATTGACTACAAGGTTCCACATAAATATTTTATATTGTATCCAAAAAATCTAAAAAATATATTAACTTTATTTTTTTATAGTAATTTGAAATTAAAATTTAGACAAAACTTAATGTTTAAAAAAAAAAATAACGATTTTAGTTATTTTTACTATATGCATTTTTCTGATAATATGCCAACAGGCCGTTTCCGCTAAAGATCGTTTTTTTTAAACAATTATATTTTATTAAATTCAAATTTAACATATCCATTAAATTACGAGATACATTTAACTTTATCAATATAGCAGAAAGGTTAATACTTTTCCTTTTTTTCTACAAAATATGTTGTTTATATCATTTTTATAAATCACCGACACATAACAATTGTATACAAATAAGAAAAATATTTAAAAAAAATTATACTTTAATTTCAGTTTTACAAAATAATACAAAAATCATTATGGACCTTTGTTAATTATACAATTTAAAAATAAAAATAAATGATTTGAACAAGTAAGTCTATATAAGAGATTGAGAATAATGTACGTAATCTTTTTCAATATACCCCCTTCCTACGCTCTTAAATAATCTAAAAATGTTTCACACATTAATAAATATATATTGGTACCTATACCATTGTTTTGTCATGGTGATTTCGTCGCTCGTTATTTTGAGGTATGCTGCATTTTACCGCACATCAATTTTTCGCAGTGGCGGCGTTAGGGACGGGCCAGGTAGGGCCATGGCCCTAACTAAAATGATTAGTTCTAACAGTAGCACTACCACTGGCCTAACCTTAGACATAATAATATTCTTATTTTTTATAAGCAGAAAATAATGGTATTTGTATTTTGTTAACTTTACAGTCTGTATATAATTTAGATTAATTTACTTCTATAATATTATATTATTGCATAATTTTTTCAATTAAATATTTTTTATACATATTTTAAAATTTTTTATTTAAATCTCATTTTTTGTGGTCCTACTTTATAATTCTTGGTCTCACATTAGCTCTGTTTATAAAAAAAATCATGGCCCACCACTGATTTTCGCTTATTGATAATTGCAATAATTATTTGGATAAAGTTTAAGTATAGTATTGTTTTTGTATGTAACCTAACCTATATTTTAATTTTATTTTACTTTTAATAAATAAATGATATTTAAGTTGTGAAAAGTATATACTTATAATGTATATTTTAAATTTATAATTATTGCTTTCAATGTTAAAACAAATATAACAAAATTATTTAAAAACTAAATTTCCTATACATGAATGACAAAATTTCGTAAGAGTTCAAACGTCGTGCGTCTGAATGATCGTGTCAAATTGACGCTCGAAAAAATGATCGTGATCAAATGACGTATATTTAATAATACTTTAAGTAATAATTTTTTACTAAATTAAAAGTATTTTTATATTTATTCTCAGAAGTAGTTATAACTTCAAGCCATGTATGGTAGCTGGCAGGCTATAAAACATATTATTAATCTTAGAGTTTATTTATTTTTATCAATATGTATTATAAGTAATAGTTTATCATAAGAAAAGTACGAAATATAATTTTGTGTTTGTAAATATCCAACATGGAAATGTTTGAATGTGTATTTGGGAACATGTAACTATGTTAGTTTTCACCTGGTAAAAAAATACGTTGCTAAGGAAACTAAAAACATTGCACTTTTTCGTCACTTAAATTTTTTTTTTTTTTTGATTCCCAGACATAAAACATAATTCATAAAATTAACAATAAAATAATAAAAAATATACCAGTGTATAGGTATTGTACACAATAATTATTATTGCAATAATGATTAATGAAAACATTTAAATGAGAAAAAAAGATTTAATTTTTGTTTAACAACATCAAAAATAGTCAATATTCTACTAATATTGATGTTTGCAATATATAATATATATTATAATTTAGTAGGTACCTATACGTTAGTATAGTATTAAAATCAATTTATTTTTGAAAAAATAATATAGGTACTATACGTCTGTATGAAATGTGAAATAAAACAAATAATAAAATAATTTAAATTGACTATGATATAAAAAATAATTCTAAAAATTGTATTAGTGTATAAGAATTGTATAATATAGTATATTAAAGAAAAACATTTAAATGAGTTAAATATTTATTTTTACTATTACTATTAATGTGAGATGTCACTGAAATGTCATTGAAAAATTGAATAAAAAGATTTTAGTAATAAAATTCATTACTCCTGTATTAATGGCATTTTCAAAATAATAATGTAATATATTTCAAAATAAATTTATTGTACTTGAAGTTTAATCTAATATAAAAAAAATGTTTTTAAGTAAACGCAAAAGTCATCGAATGATGAGCATACAAATCATACAAATTATACATTATAAATATTGGTAAAGAAAATTTTTAATAAATTATAAACAGATGGGACCGGGGTGATGTATGTAGATTTGTCTGATATTGAACACAACATATAACGATAACCTTATGTATATATGTAATGTTTTACAATTTTAACTCAATTTTTTATGATATTTGCAGAAGACGAACAGAAGCAGCAGCAACAACAGCCACCGACAAACTCATCTGCCCTTCAGCTATCAAAAACAAACACTGTCTGTGATACAAATTCAAGTACAGGCCAGCAACCACGGTGCATCGTAGAAACAATAACCATGACCACAGTTACCGAGAGACAAATTGTGCAAGAAACTAGGCCAATGGACGTTCCTAGTGTTGACGGTGCGTGCAAAACCGAAGATGCAAAAGTCGTTACCGATACCACTGCTGTTACCCCGGATGAGGGGTATGTAATGATTAAATGTGGTAACAATACTGTGCTGTACAACAACCGAAACCCAAACTCGGCAGTTCGACAGTTATTTCCGTCAACAAAGTTTGTGTGCCCACCAACCCGAATAAAGGAGACGGACGATGCAAGATTGTTGAACAAGTATCTCATCACGGAAGAGTCGCTCAGAGCGTTTGATAGTCGGTCGATGAACGGTGGCTTGAGTGGCGGAGGATTCAAGAGCGAACCGCACAGCGACGACGATGACGATGAAACGTCGAATAGCCTCATTAGGCGAACTATCGAACGAAGTACTTTAAGGCGGAACATCGTAAAAAAAAAGAACGGTGGTGATTCCAAAGAGATATCTTTAATCGAGAAAATCCGACGGCTGACGTGTGATAGCGACGACGACGCCGATGACCCGACCAAAAAGGTATCGGGTACCATGCAAGATCAGGGGACCGCTTACACTGTATTGGTGCAGTGTGATTCGGTGACGCCGTCAGCGGCCGTCGCTACTCCGGCGTACAAAAAACTCACAGAATTATTGAGTAGTGGTAGTAGTGGAGGCGGCCGATATGATCAATCGCCACCATCAACCGTTCAATCGACGGCTGACAATGATCCTACTGGCAAAGCTGACGGGCTGGACCTGTGTGAGGGTCACTCGGCTATCAGCAGTAGAGCGGCTGTTCGGTCTGCAACCGGTGCCAAACCCTTCCTGTCTACGTTAGCGACTGCATGTGTCACAGGCAACATGCATCCGGCCACCGGTGGATCAGTAGCAGGAAGCGCATCGCAACCATCACATTGTCCGCAACCGGACGTGGTGGCTGGCACTCAAGCTCCCAGCACACACAGACAGGAAGAGCTTGTGGCGTTCGTGCAACAGGACTCGGGCCGCCTGGAGAAGATCCGCAAGCGGTATATGCCAGCCACTGCCACCACAACCGCGACAGAGGACGAAGATGACGAGAACGATGATTACGGGTTCAACCGGCGTCCGGAAGTACATGGCATCCGGTCCGGATTCTCAGCGCAGATTACCATAAAAAATAACCCGCAGCCGCCGCAACGTCCTCGGTCTTATTATGGTGACCCAGCTCTTCAGGCGCCGCCACTCGACGTCCAACCTGACTTTGTGCCCAGGTATTCGGCAACCGCAGTGACGGCTGTTCGCGCTCGGATCCAGGGTGACCCACGGGCCCCTCCACCGTACCCGGCCGCATCACAACGGTCCATCATCAGAGTGACTCATGGCCAACAACAGCAGACCATCCGCGTACCATACCAGACGGTCGGACCGGTTCAGGTGCACCTATTGACCACAGCAGCCGCGGCTGCGTCCACCGCTACCGCCAACGTCATCGGTCACCCACCGCAACCACAGGTTCAAATCCGACACCCGCCTAATGAGTACATCGTTCAACATGGTCATGCCAGAATACACCATGGCCAACAATTTGTTATTGCCCGCGGCACTCAGACGGCTGCGATATCAACCACTCGGTATTACCAGTTACCACCGCCTCCGTCGCCCAACATTCAGCAGCAGCAGTTACCACAACCGCAGTTACCGCCACACGCATTTCAGCCGTCTGACGAGCATTCGGCGACACAATTCAAACAGACATCTCCCACCAGAGGAGTTTCATCAAGCGGAAGGCTGCAGATGCAACAGCAGCAACAACAACAAGAATATGTCGACCATAATTTACAGTCATCGGTCTCGCAGACTTCCAAAAATCCAATGCTTTTTTATGGTATGAATGTCTGAATGGTGTCATTAGTTGTGGTGTATAACGCTTAAATAGTACCTAATATATATTATATATAATATATCTACGATGTTTGATGGCTCTTAAATAAGTTTTACTATAACATAGATATATTTGTAAATTGTTTTCGATGCATATGTTGATAAGAGGCGAGAGGCGATAAATTTTACCATAAAACAAAAAATTAAATTCTGGTATAATTTATGAGTATTATGTGATTATGTGATCATAAATTATATTAGTACCGACCTACTGTACAAGTCTTCCTTTAATATGCAGACGATAACGCAATGATAATATCAAATTATCAATATCTAGATTTAAATCCATTGTAAAAACACTATCATTTCAGTGAAATAACATGTAGGTGCCCAATTGTTATATTGTTATGAATAAAAACTGTATTATTAAGTTCTAATAATAAAATATATATTATATACGTACGCTTATTGTCAGCATTTATCGAATTAAGTAAAATGGTTTAAAAAAAAATAAAATAAATTCAATATATATTTTATTTTTATTACATAAAGTATTAAAAAATATACATCAAATAATATACATGAAAAAAAAATTACTCCTTAAAGCAAGAAAACAGTATGAATAATAATACATTAAAGGAAGGGTGATTTTCATGCTTGCAATTTAAATGAATAGAAAAGGAAATTTTATCTGTTTTAATTTGTGTTGAAATATATTAACGTGAACAAAAATATAAATAATATAATATCAAAGAACTTAATTTAACAATAAGTATATTAATATAACTCTATACAATCACAGGCCACAGGTCTTTAACAATATTTATTTACCTACTTATTTTTTTTTTTTTTTTTTATAGTTAATAAGTTTCAAATTATAATAATGTATAAAATATAATTAATATAAAGTAATTCAATAACAGACTGTGACGAAAATTAAGGGTTGTGAAATTGTATTTATAATACGACTATACCACTAGAAAAAACGATAATATTAATCATATCGAAGACATAAATAATAGCCAAATTCGCATCAAAAATAGAAAAATAATTTTTGAATTATTTATAATAAAAATGCTTAACGTTAGAGAATCATTAAAAATCGTTTATTAAGCTATTTGGTTTGTTATGATTCAATATTGTAAATAGTAATCAAAATAATAAAAATAAATGTATTTATTGTTTAAACCACTAAGTTTACATTTCAAATTTTTTGGGCTGACAAATATCCACAAATTATAGAAAAAATATATTTATAAAAGTATATAAATATGTGGTACTTATTAAATATTAAATTATGCTTGACATAGTAGTCTATAATTCTATACGGTTATGTTATTTTTAAGATAAAAATATGAAATATTTATAATTTTGTTTTAAAAAATAAGATTTTTTGGACTCCAAAAATATAACAATAAAAATTCTATGATAATTTGTTTGCTTTTAACCCTTATTTATTACTTAAAAATATATATATAATAAAAAAACACAAAAATTTTATCAAAACTACATCGTAATTTCAAGCCAATTATAAAGCCATAATACATTTGAATAATAATTGCGATCGAATACTTCCATGTTATAGTTAACGATTTTACAATAAATTAATATATATAGGTATATATTTAGTTATGCATATATTTGCCTAAAAAATGTAATCATGATAAAATGAGTTTCAAGAGTATTGTGAAGATCATTAAGTTTTTTTTATTTAATACTATAGTAAAACTGTTAAAACATTTGATTATTATTAAATAAAAAGTTTGTTTATACGCCAATAACTAGGAAATGTTTACAATTTTTAGATCTTTAATTAATTCGATCACCCACTCATGTACCGAATTTTCATCTCATAATCTATAGAATATTGAAATTTCATTAAAACCATACACAATTTTAAAATTATATAATGCAAATTTATTTATTTTTATTTAAATGTAATATATATTATATACCTATATTATGTATTGTACATTGTACTATTATGATTGGTGCCAAAGCGATGTTAAACTTAAAAATACTATAAAATATGTATTAAAAATGTACATAAAATAAAATATTTTGTTGTTTTAAATCAACTTAAGTGGTAGGCTGTTTATTATAATTATGTTAAATTATAGTACGAAATACTAGACCGTCGTTAATATTGAAAATTTAGGCCTAAAGTGGAATTAATTTAAAATTGTATTGTTTGTGAATTTTATTATAATTATTTTTTATTTTAAGAAAATATAATGTTGTTGTTGAAATAAATGTGTATAAATGATTAGTTTGTGTTAACTTATTTTAAATAATATATAATAAAATATGAAAATACTTGAATTAATTGACCTTATAACCTAACTCAATTTAATTTTCAACAACAAGTTCATAAATATTTTTATTGATTTTATGGGTTGTTCAGTCGTTGTAAGGTAATATAGTTTGCAATTATGGATTCCGCTGAGGTTACATTTTAACTTATAGGTTACATGTGTGACTGGTCAGTGGTTATAGAGTACAGAACTACAGACATATCTAAGTTAGTTACAATATTTGCGACTCAGAGTATATCAACATCACCCTTTCGTTTATACGAATAATAACATAATATTATAATTTTTCTTATTATTAAATTATTTATGTTGGATAAATTAATTAAAAACTATATACTACGTGAACAATATTAAATGACGATTCTACAAGGATTTGTCTTCTCAGTTCCCTTCATTACGCTCACATACTACAAAACAGTAAAATTAAATTAACTAGAGACTATTGTTATACAGTCACTACAATCTACACTACAGCATATTATAAGTTGGTACTTACAGTATAGCTACATACAATAAATACAATAAATAATCATATGATTATTCTTATGGAGACCGTTCATTTATTATAATATCAGTGGAATGTCTGATCATCAGTGCCCACTTGCAACAACAGTGATCAATTCAGATTTTGTAAACAACATTAAGTGTTTGGTCTTTAAAATAATATTGCAATATACCTACTATATTTAACAATAAAAACAACCAATCAAATATTCGCTATTTTAATTTTTATAGAGTATGTATGTGTTCTTAGTATTCTTAGTATTCTATTATACGAATCGTGGACATTTGACCCCTGTAAAGTTTTTTAACAACCAGACATTTGACCTCTCAAAATAAATTCATTAGATTGTCGTATATTTAAATAATTATTATGATTACTAATATTACATTAAGAACTGTAATGTTTGAAGATAAGAACATCTTAACCTTCCAAATACGTATACATAACAACGAATGGGTTATTTAATAAAAAAAAGGTTTTTATTTTTTAGTAAGGTTATTGAGAAATTATATTAACAAGTAATAATATTTTAATACAATTTTAGAAAACGAAATATATTTTATAATACAATAAATTATACGATTTACAAATGATTGAGTAAAGTATGCCAACAAATATTACAATATACCTAATTATTAATAAATAAATATTTGTCGTTTAATTGACATATATTTCATTTATATTTTTATCTTGTACTTCATAAATAGGTAGTAAATTTTATATTCTGGATGTTACCATTATATTAAGTTGTGCATTTTATTTGAAAAAACCGTGTCAAGTTATCGTAAATTTAAAAAAACTAAAAAAAAACTAAGAGAAAAGCTCCAATTTATAAATGTATAAAAATTAAGAGCGACTGTAAACTTGGGTCAAACATTATGTTGCTTATCAGATAAAATTAAAGAAAATACTATGTAGAAAAAAAGATCCATTATTTACATCAACAAAAATATGTGTTAGAAGGGAGTATAAAGGATAAATTGAGATTAATCGAATTGTTAAACAAAGAAGAGTAGACAGATTCAAAATAGTTTGAAAATAAATTTGCATTTACCAAAATCTCAGAACTTGGCACTCCATAAGATTCACACTGTCTGTAAGATCTGCTAATGGTTAGTTTTAACAGATAAGTTTACAAAATAAACACAAGTTGTATGCAAGAGCTTTCTTGGATTGAATTTTATAGTTCCGATGACAACACTTAAATAAGAATTATAACGGACATGATAATGGGAATACTTTCGATAATCATCAAGATTGTATTAAGTGACTTTATAATTCTAGTTAACTCTTAATTTCTCAAAACCAAGTCTGATAGTTTTTTAGATAACTAATGTGGTAAATGAAATTTACGAATAGATATCTGAGAAATATAATAAATACGTACGTTATATACATAAATTAAATAAATTCCATATTAGCATCATAGTCTGTAGAAGTGTATGAAATCGTTGCTATTCTTACAAAGAATGTATGAGTAACATCCTCTCTCGAAGCATCTAGCCTGTTGTTTAGGTAGCCATGAAAAAGACTTTTTTTACTAACTGGTCAGGATGTCTATTCAGCTGCCTATTCAATGCTATATCATTTCATGTCATTTTCATAAAGTTTTACTATGGTTCTAAACTATACTTTGGCATAAAAAGGACATTACTTATAGGGAAGACCACAAAAAGGTACAGTATCGACCTACCCCCTCTCTCTTACATAGTGACTGCTGATAATATATAGTATGTACGGTGAGTAGTCCTTCATTTTTCGATGTTTTTCTTCGAGTTAAAATTCTGAAGTGATTTGGAAGATCGTTGTTGACTCGTTTCGCAAAAATACCTTAACATGATGATAAAAGTATGGTATATCACTATGTTATGTAATATATTCGCACTCACAGATTTACGGGTGGCTACGCAAGAAAAATTTGACCAAAAATTGTCGTAAATCGGGCGGCACATAGTGGCGAAACGGTTACAGGTTGTCGAAAAAATAATGAATGAATGACTCCGCTAAGCATTTTATGGATTTTTAACAATAAAGCCTAAACTTTTATAATTTCTTCCATAGATAAATACATGGCTAACAATAAAACAACGCAATAAGGATTTTTCACTGTTCACTTGTATTTTATTGATAGAAACTACACATACAACAAAGCTCAGAACCTCGCATGTTTTACAGGACTTTGTTTACTAAAGTTAACTAACTATAAAAGAAAATATACTGCTAGAACATAATCGATAATTCTCCACTTTAACATTAATAGTCAGTTGGTATTAAAAGTAATTTTTAAATTTTCGTCAATTTGACGGATTTTTTTAAAATATCAACTTTAAATGTTTACGAAAAAAAATTTGTGACTGTATTTTTGATACATTTTAAAAACCTCAAATTAAATTTTCAAGTTTTAAACAAAATGTTATCAACCTGTTTTGAAAAAAAGCTAAAAAAAAAACGTTCAATATTTCAATCGTCTATCACTAATAGCTTAATAGTTAAATATTTTCTAAATTATATTATTGTGTATATAAAAGTTAACATGAAAATTAAGTAACTCATTTTGTTTTTAACTAAAGATAATTTTACTACACCCTCTCCCAAAAGTGCCAACTAAATCAAAACAGCCAGGCACTGAACATTAAAGCATTTTTATTATTGCAAAATGTAATTGCAGAAATAAAAAAAAAGTTAAAATAAACATCATTGTAAAACCAATCAATTTATTGTTCCATTTAGAATCTAAATCGGGGCCAAGTTTTATACATAACATATTGACTACCTATCTGAAAAAAATGATTGTATAATAATTAATAGTCAAATTATTTAAAACCACCTCCTACAACTTACAAGTTATCTACTTATAGTAGCTTGTATTATATAAATAATATTGCAGCAGTCAGCAAAATTACATACGATGTCGATTGCAACTATAGTACCTATACCTATATAATATATTTATAATATATATTATACTATAATATGCATAATTAAATTTTAAACGGTAACAAATATTTATTAAACAAAAATACATATTTATAATTTAGATATATATATGTATTTATGTATGTATGTATAGATGTGTGAGTGTGTGTGCTTATATGATCTAAACTTATGAGATATACCATTAATACCTAGGTATTATTTATTAATTATATTATTACTTAACGCTTATACGTGGATAACTGTAAGAGCCAGCAGCAATTTGCCGCGGGCCTATAATTTTATGGGTACGTAAAATATTAAAATGAAATATCGAGGAGGTTATTCAATGAGATTATTACTACGATATGCAATTGAGGAGAGGCGGTCGTTGATGCGCGTGAATGTCGCCGTGGACCGGCCACAGAGCTGCTGCAGCTAAGCGCGTGCCGCGCGCGCGGCTGGTGGGAGAAATTTAGCTCTCTTCCCTTCGGCCCGACTGTATATATTATATATTTTTTCAACTTGGCGGCAGTTTTCAAGAAATTTAGTAGTGTACCATCGCCACCTATAATAATTATCTTTTCTTTCGGTTTTGTCGATCCTGACGAGCAGTCGTGCAAATACTAACTTACGCCGTCTCGAAGGTCTAATGTAGCCGTGCTGCACAGTATTCCGAACCAGTCCGTCTGCAACGTAGGTACTCGCATCACAGCAACATAAACAGCACCAACAACAACAACAAACATCGACAGTTACAATAATAATACAACACATATTACATCTGTGTTTTTCTGTGATATAATATCCACGTCGACGGAGGTGACTTGTGTGAACGTGAAATAGACAGATTGCGGTCATCGAAATTTAATTCAATTCGAGGCGACTTCGCAATATTATTTTTATAAGACCGGGCCACGAAGACGCACACGGACGGACACGAGACAGCAAAATGTTGTACGATCCGCCAAAGACGACCTTGTACGTTTGCACCGTACTCCTGCACACTGCCAGTACGTAATAACAATAATAATATGATATTATAATATAATCTTATGCTATTATATATTATTATACGACTAAAACAATATTTTGTACGACGCATTCCGTAATATTATATTATGTTGATATGTTACATATTATGATATGTATATGATAATAATATTTATACATATTATGCATATAGACCACACAAATGTTTCATGCAATATATATTTTTTTTAAATATGATCTATAAATTATATATTATTGATAAATAGTTCTGAGCCCTAGATTTTCAAAATATTATAATATACCTAATACGAGTGTTTGACGTGAATCGTGTGATTCGATGGCATACCTATTTACAATATTCTTTTAGATGGTGATGAGTGATAACTAAAACAAATTCTCAATATTATTTGCTTTGTATTTTAGATTAATGACCTAAAGCTTACTTTTTCGATAATGTCACTTACAATTCAATCAATGTAGTAGAACATTTTTATTAAAACCTTATTTTTTCAATCTAATGTCACTAAAATTAATAAATACAAACATACCTATTTATGTTTATTTTTCAAAACATCAATAACTGTGGATTACAAAATACAGTAAACATTACACATTTTTTTTCAAAAAAAAATAATTTCCAGAGATACCTAATACATATTTTTGATCAATCCTCTTAAATAAGTCACAGTTACTGTGTCAGTGTTACAATTATTAAACATTTCATATTACTACTAAACTATTATTGATTATAAATAGTATAATCAATACCTATGTATAGATACAGACTTGCAATTTAATTTATCATTATTATAAAATTTTAATTAAATTTTGTTTACATTAATTTTTTTTAGTATAATTATTTCTTTTAAAAACCGGTATTCACGTAGTTTCGTTTTTTCTATTAGCTTGTAATAATTTAATTTATAATATCAAATACATAATAGATATTATATTGCCCCCGCAGGATACCTATATAATATAAATGCATACAAGTATGTGAATTATTAAGCGTAGGTATCAGTAATGTTCTTTTATATGTGTCGGTTCAGTATTTTTTATTTCTAATTAATAATGCACTTAATAATATTTATATATAATATAATATGATGCAACTTGCCTAGACATTTGCGTCATAAATCATAATACAATAGTAATACGTATATTATATACGATGGCGACAATAATGGCACGTTTGGACCTACGAAATATAACGCGTGTTGTCGCTCTACGAGTTCACCGATGCATTAATGCAGTATTGCAGTAATACCTCAAGAAAGCTTAAATAATTTGAATTAGGGATATAGATGCTATATGTATATATTAGAGTTAAACTCTTTAAAAACGTATAAGTGTTAAAATTCCCCAAACAAATGTAAAAAACGTATGATTTACATTGCCAAGATTAACATTTTGTAGTACAAACCTAAAATAATACATGAATATTATTTTATTTGTTTTTTATCTACTTGCTATTATTGTATTGTTAAAGTATTTAATACGCTCTCCCTATAAAATATGCTGCATGGGAGGGGGATACATAACTACAGCATATTATGTACTCTTCTTATTGGATACACTAGTATAAAGCATAATATAATATTATAGGTAGTAAATTAAAATAATATAATAATAAATAATAATCAATAGTAAAACGTACATTTTAACGATTAACTACAGTATAATATGCATACAGGGTAATTATTTTATCGAAAAACACTTATCATTTTAACAACTGCTATAACGTTTTTGAAAGTATTTTGAATTAATAAAAAAAATCTATTTTTTTCTAATAATTTTTTGTTTCAATTATTTAAGTTGTTAACTTTTTGAAAGGGATTATACAATTTTTAATTTCATATTCTTAAGCAAAATATTTTTCTGAAATGTTGATATATAGAAATTGAATTTCAAACGAAATTTTCAGTTAGCTGTAAAATAATTGTCATTACAAAATATTAATTTAAATATAATAAATATTATTATTTGTTGTTAATTACTATATTAATAAATCAGTTTTCGATATCATGTGCACAAATTAGTATGAAAAAATTGAGTCTTTTAATAACAAACACTTACTATTTCGAAAAGTATTTTCATTTTTGAAAATACTTTTTATAACTATTTTAATTTATAAGTACCTATTTAAAGTTTAGATGAGTGAAGTGGCTACTCTTGTATTCCATAGGAGAGCTTAACAAAATGTTATTTATTTTGTTTATCAAAACAATAAATACTTACAATCTTTCAAAATTCTTAAAAATATATTTTGTTTTAAGTGTGAAATAAAAATGTAAGTAAATATAAAAAAAGTAAAATACATAAATATAATAACTATGAAAAATAGTGAAAGTGTAAATTTTTCAAAAATATTGTTTTATAATTAATCAAAATTATGTAAAAATAATATTTTAAAAAACTACTATACTTTTCGGTATGATGAGATTTTGTTGTCTAAAAAAATCACCCAGTATATCATTATAATATAGAAGTATATCTTTGTTGGTCGGTCAAAAATTGATTGACCTTTTTTTGACCGTTTGTTTTTCACCCGGTCATTGAGATTATCAATCTTTTCTTATTTATATACAATATATAAATTATTTATGTATAATATGATATAAACTTATTTTTACTATACAATCGTGTTGTAAATTACAGTCAAAAATTATTTTTTAAGTCTCAACAGCTCATTTTTGTATTATTTATAAATTTAAAAAAATACATTATCAAGCTTAGTGAAGACATAGTCTAAATTAACTGTTTACATTTAATAAGTACATAATCTAACATAAATTAATCTACATACGTTTACCTTTATTTAATATTTTATGCAATTTTACCATTTATTTTATCTCTACCTAAGTATAAATAATTTTAATAATTGTAAAGCCTAACCTAATCTATGCCTAAATGGCTAAACATATACGTGTATAGGTTTGTATAAAAACATATAATACAATTTAAAATATACTGAAAAAAATTAAAACTATAAATGTAATGGATAACAATCAACAAATACAAATAATATTTTAATTTTTATTTGTTTTTACTTATAAATAAAAGCATGCTTAAAATTATAAGCATATATATATATATACTTATAACTTATAAGTATATATATATATACACTTATAACTTATAAGCATACTCAAAGTTTGAACAATTTGATTGAGCCATACAATTATACATATTTTTGAAACGAAATGCACGTTAACTAATATAGTAATTTATTAATACATTTTTGAACATTGAATATTATTATATACATTTATTATGTTTAATGTTTAGTAGTAATCTGCTATAAGAGTTACACTAAGTTAATTTGAACTAATATTATTGATTTATAATGCTCAGTGCACATAGTCATTAATTGACAAATTTACAAATTATGTTTATTTGAAAAGACGACGAGTATAATTATGTTTCATACTATAAAAATTATAAAAAAAAATTAACTTAATTTATTAATATACTATAGTATCTATATTAGTCTAATTTGTTTAAAAACAATTAAAGATATTATATAATATTGTTTTCATTTTCATTTTAAAGTGGTAAACTTTGATGTACCTATACGGAGTAATCTAATTGCTGTAGTTAATGATTTAAAATTCGTAGTTTTTTAGGGTTAAAGAGTAGAATATTTATTAAATTAATTACCTATACATTAAAAACAATAATAATAATAATAACAAATGATATTATGTTTTTACACAATATTATTTTTTTTCACATTATGCTGGTATATTTTTTATCATTTGTAATTTTATTCTAAATTGTTTTCTCCCTCTTTAATAAGGCATCACATATTATTTTTCTTTTTGGTTTTAGTTTTAATTGATTACACATAGATTTCCTGCAATAATCATCATAATTAAATTTATCTTACGCAAATAAACTAATTTATATCAAATTAAATACCATATATGTATAATCATGATTTGATAAGTTGCTTAAGTTCAATTGCCTTTATGCAATTTCAAATTTGTATGTCTAAAGATCGTTATTCCATGAATTATTTAATCGTTTTAATTTTTAGATACTAATTTGTTGCTTTGAATGAAATAATAATAAATAAAATATATATTTCACTAAAACATGTTTTGGTTTGTTTGTTTTTACACAATAGTACATTTAAAAAAAAAAAAATTTAAAACAAAAAAAAAGATTTAAGTATAATAAATATTGATGTTACGCGCAGTTAAGTATATTTATGTATAATGACGACAATATATAAATGTAATTGTACATATAGGTAATATTGATTTTATGGATAATACAAAATTTAGGAATTATGAAATTAAGAATTAAATCATTTGTTTACTAAATAATAACAATTTAAAAAAGTTTTTAACATTCATAGACAATAGACATACGTAAATATAATTTTAGGTATCTAACCATTAATCGGATTATTTCATGCATAAATATAATTACTATCAATTTATTAGGTAACATTTATTCATATGAAAAATCTAATAGTTTTATTAAGTCTGATAAGACAGATTTTACTATTTTATGTAGGGTCTTACAGATTTTTTTCTATAATATCACAATTCCCGGCAATCCATTTTGCCAACAAATAAAAAGCTAGGTAAGTAATCTTCTAAAATAAAGTATTATATTTTTATTATAATTTAACACTTACGAATATTATAGGTACTTATTATAGATAAAATCGTTTATCACACTCAAAAATTTTAAAACACGCTGATGAAATACTTTGTACTTCTAATATTTCCAAAAATATCTTTACATTTTACTCGTTAAGTCATGAGTTACACAAATTATATTATTAATACATTTTCTAGCACGGGTCGTCTGGCTGTATTTTTATGACTATATTCATAAAAATTAAACGGCAGTTAAAATACTTTTATAATATAGCATAGTATATTGTTATTTAAAAATAAATATTAAAAAAAAATAAATCAATCCTACCAAAATCTAAGATATAGTTAATATTTATTGTTAAATAGGCGCTAAGCACGTATAAATAAACACGTATACTATCGTCATA